GTGTTTTCACTTTCATGTATGACATTTTTTTATGTAGATTCTCCCCCCTCCCCCAATTCCCCCCCCCCCAATCTCCAAAATTGGTGGTTCTTAAAAATCAAACAATAACAATAACACAGAAGAATGGGTTAGGTATTGTTATACCTATATTGTTAAAGTGGTACATGTTAGGATAAAGTTAGTGTCGGGTACAGAATCAAAGTTACAGATTCAGCTAGTGTTTTATGCAGCAGTATTAACAAAAGCATTCCCTCGAAACACATCTTCCAGTTGCGCGAAATATATAAATACTTTCTAACCAAGAAATAATTCGTGCGAAGTAAAAAAGTAAATACAGTGCTTGGCGTAATGAAGATTCTTTTAAAAAATCGATGCGCAAATTTGTAGTCTAAAGGTTCTGTAGTGCTATTTGTAGCCTGTTTTATTAACAACTTACCACTTTTTAAATTGGTAGAGTCCACTGTATAAAAGGCACTGGTGTTAAAAAGATCCTTAAATAATGGTACACAGTATTCCAGTGCTTCTAATAAACAGGAGCGAATGTACAGAGAGTAGGACAAAATATGACAAGCGCCAGCTATTGGTGTTTCTGTTTCTGAATTTACCTCAAACGATTCAGTTCAACAAATAAAAATATACTTCTGTTTAGTTTGGTTCTAGGTGAATGGTTTTCATAGTCAGGTGGTTCACTTACACGAGCTTATGTGAAGACAGCTTTGGTAAATGTTTAGATTCGTGTTGTTTAGATCCGTGTTGTTTAGGTTCGTGTTGGTCCGCGTTGTTTAGGTCCGTGTTGTTTAGGTCCGCGTTGTTTAGGTCCGTGTTGTTTAGTTCCGTGTTGTTTAGGTCCGTGTTGTTTAGGCCCGTGTTGTTTAGGTCCGTGTTGTTTAGGTCCGTGTTGTTTAGTTCTGTGTTGTTTAGGTCCGTGTTGTTTAGGTCCGTGTTGTTGTATAGGTCCGTGTTGTTTAGGTCCGTGTTGTTGTATAGGTCCGTGTTGTTTAGGTCCGTGTTGTTGTATAGGTCCGTGTTGTTTAGGTCCGTGTTGTTTAGGTCCGTGTTGTTGTATAGGTCCGTGTTGTTTAGGTCCGTGTTGTTTAGGTCCATGTTGTTTAGGTTCGTGTTGTTTAGATCCGTGTTGTTTAGGTCCGTGTTGTTGTATGGGTCCGTGTTGTTTAGGTCCGTGTTGTTTAGGTCCGTGTTGTATAGGTCCGTGTTGTATAGGTCCGTGTTGTTTAGGTCCGTGTTGTTTAGGTCCGTGTTGTTGTATGGGTCCGTGTTGTTTAGGTCCGTGTTGTTTAGGTCCGTGTTGTTTAGGTCCGTGTTGTTTAGGTCCGTGTTGTTTAGGTCCGTGTTGTTGTATAGGTCCGTGTTGTATAGGTCCGTGTTGTATAGGTCCGTGTTGTTTAGGTCCGTATTGTTTAGGTCCGTATTGTTTAGGTCCGTGTTGTATAGGTCCGTGTTGTTTAGGTCCGTGTTGTATAGGTCCTTGTTGTTTAGGTCCGTATTGTTTAGGTCCGTATTGTTTAGGTCCGTGTTGTATAGGTCCGTGTTGTTTAGGTCCGTGTTGTTTAGCTCCGTGTTGTTTAGTTGCGTGTTTTTTTTGTGTGTGTTCGGGCTTATCAAGTTAGCCTTAATTAAACCATCAAGAAATCACGAATCGACACAAATATAAATTTCTTAATTTTTATTTAAACATTATTTTTTTACTGCACCCAAAAAATGATTTCCTTAATAATCAAAATAACTAAATAACCAAATTAACTACAAAGATAAATCCACATAATTGTTGAAGTATGAAACAAAAACTTCTATTAAGTAATAACCAGCTACCTAATATTTGATACGCTTTATATACTCCGACTTTTTAATGGCGAAAATCACCAACATTTCTACGTCACGGAACTTAGCGACGTTCATTGCCATCAATGTTGCCACAAAATGGTGGGGATTTATTATTAACAGTGTCAACATCAGTGTCTGAATTCGACATCACACTCATCGTATTTAATTAGTTTAGAGAAACCAACACTCATGTCAAGGTGCGTGAACCCCTTTGATGTTCCATTTCATTTCAATAGCTGTAACAATGTTTAAATACTTTGTGGGGTAAAATAAGATCTAAACTATAATCTATATATTTAGTGTAGGTAGAGTCTAGACAGTAATGTAGACAGTCTAGTCAAGCTAGACGTGACTGGCTAGCTAGACTATATCTAAAATAAAAACATAACAGCCTAGGGGTCTAGATCTGATCTTAATTATAGTTAGGTCTCTGTTAAAACAATATGTAAAAAATTACTTGTCGTATATGTTAAAATCGATATTAACATACCATATCTAGACTTGATCTATATAACCCAGAGAAAGTTAGGAGGGGTGGTAGTGTATCGTATTGTATAAATGGGTTACGGTAGTGGTGGGTGACACCTGTCATCCAACCACTATATACATACTATATACAGATAGATAATTATACATGTATGATGTTCTAATACTAAAACTAGAATTAGTTTTGTGTCACCCCATCCCGGATTGTGTCACCCTGTTCCTACTATGACCTCATAAAATATTAAACTAACTGGCAACATTTAAAATGGCTGTATTTCGTTTCGGTGTCACCTAATAGATGGTGTCCCACCCCTACTTCCCCTCGCCCCTGCCTTGGACACTAGTAGACCAGAGGGTATTATACAGCTGTTTTATATAACACTGCATTTTACTATTACTTTCATATCTTTATACGAAATCTCTCTGCTATTTATAGATTCTAGTCTAGTTTGATGCGTGAGTAGAATCACGTGCCTACAGAAGTTTTGTTTAGCTCGTGAATAGTCTCGAATGGTTTATTAAATATTTAAAAAATAGGGTATGATATTATTTACACAAATGTGGTTATAAAAAAAATTTCCGAGGTTTTTGTTGAACTTTACAAAAGAATGGGTGTATTTGATGTTTTTAGTATTTTCGGGTAACTAAAAAATAAGATCGATCACGGAGTTCCTGTACAGCCAGTGAATGTATTTCTCACAAAAGTAAAAACCTAGCCATTTAACTTTACTATTATCTTAGCGGTGGATAATAAGGTGCATGTGTGTAGTTGTAGGTGTAGAAAATTAGTACCAACTATAAAAAAACCGCAGAAGATCTAAATCTAGATTTTAAAAAATGCACCAAAAACTTAACGAAAGGAAAAAAAAGAAATTACAAGTGAAAAGAAAGATGATAATCCAACGAAAAGGGAAAAATATCTACAGGAAATCCACGGGAAAACCAGGAAATAAAAGGAAAATCCCCCTCTATGCATCTAACCGCTAACGGAAACAAAACCACCCAGTACTACTTTCATACATGACAAAACTGACCCCCAAAAAGCTGTATACACATACAGACCGATCTCTTTGTAATTCACTGACACAAATTTGTTTTGTAAACTTGTACCCCTAATAACATCAGCGGGAAAACAGTAGTGTTTTTTTTTTAAAGTATCGCTAATCTATCCTCGAACGCAACCCTAGCCCTGACTCTAACCCTAATCATGACCATTACCCCTACAATAACCCTGAAGCTAACTCTAATTCTAAGCCCGAGAAAGGTAACAATCCATCTAATGAGTTTCATCAGGATACGATCATCATTGCCATTGACCGTGAACTCCTTTTGAAGCGGGTTCATAACTTGACCCCTCTGTGTTTTATTGTTGGTCATTACCCAACTGTCATTACACCTAGAACAAGTACCTACAATGTCAATCCCTCTCCCCCCGGTATTTATTACTGTTTAAAAAGTATCCGAAGAATCCCCGACATTGACAATCTGTAGTGTCTCAAATGGCCCCGACAGATTTAAAACCAACCGAACTGAATTACTACTTCAAATAGCCATTCGATAAAACGGTTAGCAGGTTTTTATGGTTAAATACCCTTTTAAACCTAACTGTCCATGGGACAAGTTCAGTAGATTTCACCCATTTCTGTGACCTCGGCATATGAAAGTATAGTATGGTCAGCACTCTGCTTAAGCCTAACCACCATTACTTTCCCTAACAAGGTATACATGAGCTGGGTGGACTCAGGAACCTGGATTCTTCTTTCTTCTTCTTCGTTCTTAATTTTTAGTGTTGGACGAGATCGAGCCTTATCTGCCAGAGGGTTTGAACTCGAGACTTTTTCGAATTTATCAACCCTGAGCTTTAGCCGACTCGACCACGCCTCCATCAGAATTAAGGATACGTGTCAACTGGTTATGCGCCATTGAGGCCATTGACTCCGATTTCAGCCTGCTTTTCATTTTGGATTTGCTTCCATAGCCTTTGTCCAACCAAGAACTAATTACAAGGCAGCAGTTGTTTGATTTTGGAGTTGTCTCTCCTAGAATAGTGGCTGTCCCCAGCTAACGAGCCTTATCTGCCCGAGGGTTCGAACTCGAGACTTCTCGGTTTAGCATCCATGATGCTTTACCGACTCGACCAAGCCGACCCCTTAACCCGGATTCAAACTTGAGCCTTCAGCAGTCACACGCTCTACCATTCGACCACGCCGTAGAATATTCTATTTTGGTCCCGAATGTTTACAAACCATTTCACTAACCTTAACCTTATCTCTTAGCCCTTGCCCTACATTTTTTTTCGAAGTGACTACTCAGAAGATTTTTCTCCCCAACGTCTCCACTTAGTCGGCAAAAGATAGCTCTGCGCATGCGCAGTGACCTATGGCTAGGGTTAGGGCTAGAATGAGGGTTAGGGATAGGATTAGGGTTAAGGATAGGGTTAGGGATAGGATTAGGGCTAGGGTTAGGGATAGGATTAGGGTTAGGGATAGGATTAGGGATAGGTTTAGGGATAGGATTAGGGTTGGTCTTAGGGTTCTGCGGTTGTAAACACAAGCATGCGCAGTACCATCGAAAACATGCCCGCGATGGCAAGTCGTATTTTCTCTCCATTGCGCATGCGTATCTTATTCCGGCTAGCATCGGCTTATTTTTTTATCCGTCTCTTTGAGCAGCCAAGAGGAAGGCGACTACGCGAATGAGGAGGATGACAATGCGGTAGAAAGTAACGCGATAGCAGAGAGTGTGGTAGAGGATAGCCAGGTGATTGACCGGGAGGAGAGGTCAAAAAGTCATCCTTGTGTCATCTACTGGTTGGCCACCTGCGCCACGGTTAGTGGGCTATTGTTTGGTTATGATACAGGTGAGTTGATACAGGTGGGCTATTGTTTGGTTATGATACAGGTGAGTTGATACAGGTGGGCTATTATTTGGTTATGATACAGGTGAGTTGATGCAGGTGGGCTATTGTTTGGTTATGATACAGGTGAGTTGATACAGGTGAGTTATTGTTTGGTTATGATACAGGTGAGTTGATTCCGGTGGGCTATTGTTTGGTTATGATACAGGTGAGTTGATACAGGTGGGCTATTGTTTGGTTATGATACAGGTGAGTTGATTCAGGTGGGCTATTGTTTGGTTATGATACAGGTGAGTTGATACAGGTGGGTTGTTGTTTGGTTATGATACAGGTGAGTTGATACAGGTGGGCTATTGTTTGGTTATGATACAGGTGAGTTGATACAGGTGGGTTGTTGTTTGGTTATGATACAGGTGAGTTGATAGAGGTGGGCTATTGTTTGGTTATGATACAGGTGAGTTGATAGAGGTGGGTTGTTGTTTGGTTATGATACAGGTGAGTTGATAGAGGTGGGCTATTGTTTGGTTATGATACAGGTGAGTTGTTAGAGGTGGGTTGTTAGAGGTGGGTTGTTAGAGGTGGGTTATTAGAGGTGGGTTGTTAGAGGTGGGTTGTTAGAGGTGGGTTGTTAGAGGTGGGTTGTGGGCTATTGTTTGGTTATTACACAGGTGGGTTGTTAGAGGTGGGTTGTTAGAGGTGGGTTGTTAGAGGTGGGTTGTTAGAGGTGGGTTGTTAGAGGTGGGTTATTAGAGGTGGGTTGTTAGAGGTGGGTTGTTAGAGGTGGGTTGTTAGAGGTGGGTTGTTAGAGGTGGGTTTTTAGAGGTGGGTTGTTAGAGATGGGTTGTTAGAGGTGGGTTGTTAGAGGTGGGGTTTTAGAGGTGGGTTGTTAGAGGTGGGTTGTTAGAGATGGGTTGTGGGCTTTGTTTGGTAGGTTGTTAGAGATGCGTTGTTAGAGGTGGGTTGCTAGAGTTGGGTAGTGGGCTGTTTTGTTTGGTTGTTTGGATTTTTTGCTAGGATACATACAAGATTTGGGCTGTGTTGTTACGGTACAAGAAAGGTGGGGGAGGGAGAGCGATAGTTCAGGGTGTAAGTTCCCAAAAACTGACCTCAGTCTTCACACCTCCCACCTTTCACACCTTCTGATGCCCCTCCCACCTTTCACACCTTCTGATGCCCCTCCCACCTTTCACACCTTCTGATGCCCCTCCCACCTTTCACACCTTCTGATGCCCCTCCCACCTTTCACACCTTCTGATGCCCCTCCCACCCTTCACACCTTCTGATGCCCCTCCCACCCTTCTCACCTTCTGATGCCCCTCCCACCTTTCACACCTTCTGATGCCCCTCCCACCATTCACACCTTCTGATGCCCCTCCCCCCAGGTATCATCAGCGGATCCCTCCTGTTGATAAACGAACAATATGGCCTCAGCAGCTACTACCAAGTGGCCATCGTCTCATCAACCGTCGTCTCTGCGGCCGTTTTCTCTCTCGTCTCCGGCATGGTAGCTGACGCTATTGGGCGAAAGGTAATCACTGTACTAGCAGGTTAGGTTAGAGGCTACACGCATGGTTGTTAGAGGCTACACGCATGGTTAAGTTAGAGGCTACATGCTTGGTTAAGTTAGTGGCTACACGCATGGTTAAGTTAGAGGCTACACGCATGGTTAAGTTAGTGGCTACACGCATGGTTAAGTTAGAGGCTACACGCATGGTTAAGTTAGAGGCTACACGCATGGTTAAGTTAGAGGCTACACGCATGGTTGTTAGAGGTTACACGCATGGTTAAGTTAGAGGCTACACGCATGGATGTTAGAGGCCACACGCATGGTTAAATTAGAGGCTACACGCTTGATTGAGTTAAAGGCTACACGCTTGGTTAAGTTAGAGGCGACACGCATGGTTAAGTTAGAGGCTACACGCATGATTAAGTTAGAGGCGACACGCTTGGTTAAGTTAGAGGCGACACGCATGATTAAGTTAGATGTAATCACCATGCTAGCAGGCTACACGCATGGTTAAGTTAAAGGCGACACGCTTGGTTAAGTTAGAGGCTACACGCATGGTTAAGTTAGAGGCTACATGCATGGTTAAGTTAGAGGCGACACGCATGGTTAAGTTAGAGGCTACACGCTTGGTTAAGTTAGAGGCTACACGCATGGTTAAGTTAGAGGCGACACGCATGGTTAAGTTAGAGGCTACACGCATGGTTAAGTTAGAGGTGACACGTTTGGTTAAGTTAGAGGCGACACACATGGTTAAGTTAGAGGCTACACGCATGGTTAAGTTAGAGGCGACACGCATGGTTAAGTTAGAGGCGACACGCATGGTTAAGTTAGAGGCTACACGCATGGTTAAGTTAGAGGCGACACGCATGGTTAAGTTAGAGGCTACACACATGGTTAAGTTAGAGGCTACACGCATGGTTAAGTTAGAGGCTACACGCTTGGTTAAGTTAGAGGCTACACGCATGGTTAAGTTAGAGGCTACACGCTTGGTTAAGTTAGAGGCTACACGCATGGTTAAGTTAGAGGCTACACGCATGGTTAAGTTAGAGGCTACACGCATGGTTAAGTTAGAGGTGACACGCATGGTTAAGTTAGAGGTGACACGCATGGTTAAGTTAGAGGCTACACGCATGGTTAAGTTAGAGGCTACACGCTTGATTGAGTTAGATGTAATCACCATGCTAGCGGGTTACACGCATGGTTAAGTTAGAGGCGACACGCTTGGTTAAGTTAGAGGCTACACGCATGGTTAAGTTAGAGGCTACACGCATGTTTAAGTTAGAGGCTACACGCATGGTTAAGTTAGAGGCTACACGCATGGTTAAGTTAGAGGCTACACGCATGGTTGAGTTAGAGGTGACACGCATGGTTAAGTTAGAGGCTACACGCATGGTTAAGTTAGAGGCTACACGCATGGTTAAGTTAGAGGCTACACGCTTGATTGAGTTAGATGTAATCACCATGCTAGCGGGTTACACGCATGGTTAAGTTAGAGGCGACACGCTTGGTTAAGTTAGAGGCTACACGCATGGTTAAGTTAGAGGCGTCACGCTTAGTTAAGTTAGAGGCGACACGCATGGTTAAGTTAAATGTAAGTTAGAGGCTACACGCATGGTTAAGTTAGATGTAATCACATTGCTAGCAGGTTACACGCATGGTTAAGTTAGAGACTACACGCATGGTTAAGTTAGATGTAAGTTAGAGGTTCCGATGATAAAAAATACATTTAAAAAATCCCGTATATCTAAGGACGGCGTGGTCGGATGGTTGAGCGATCAACTGATCACACGAAAGTCCCGAGTTCGGATCCCAGTCTCACATTTTCTCCTTATCTTGAAACATGTGAACTCTAATACCATTGTCCGAAATGGTGATTTTATAATACAATCACACATACCATCTCTACAATATTGAAGGAATACTTTTTACCAACTCTCATGTTGGTATGTTTATAAACAGAGTTCTGATTTCAGCTGACCATCATGATATCAGCCGTTGTGTTTATAAACAGAGTTTTATTTCAGCTGACCATCATGATATCAGCCGTTGTGTTTATAAACAGAGTTCTGATTTCAGCTGACCATCATGATATCAGCCGTTGTGTTTATAAACAAGAGTTCTGATTTCAGCTGACCATCATGATATCAGCCGTTGTGTTTATAAACAAGAGTTCTGATTTCAGCTGACCATCATGATATCAGCCGTTGTGTTTACGGTTGGAGGCGTAATCATGGGATTTGCCACAGGCCCTGAGATGATTCTAATAGGTCGAATAGTGGTGGGTGCCAGTATTGGTAAGTTAGTTACATAACTACATCTACTGCTAGCATTGGTAAGTTTGTTACATAACTACATCTACTGCTAGCATAGTTAAGTTTGTTACATAACTACATTTGGTGCCAGTATTGGTAAGTTTGTTACATAACTACATCTACTGCTAGCATTGGTAAATTTGTTACATAACTACATCTACTGCTAGCATAGTTAAGTTTGTTACATAACTACATCTACTGCTAGCATTGGTACGTTTGTTACATAACTACATTTAGTGCTAGCATTGGTAAGTTTGTTACATGACTACATTTACTGCTAGCATAGTTAAGTTTGTTACATAACTACATCTACTGCTAGCATAGTTAAGTTTGTTATATAACTACATCTACTGCTAGCATTGGTAAGTTTGTTACATAACTACATCTACTACAAGCATTGGTAAGTTGGTTACATAACTACATTTACTTCCAGTATTAGTAAGTTCGTTACATAACTATATCTACTGCTAGCTCTGGTAAGTTTGTTACACAACTACATTTGGTGCTAGAATTGGTAAGTTTGTTACACTACTACATTTGGTGCCAGTATTGGTAAGTTTGTTACATAACTACATCTACTACAAGCATTGGTAAGTTTGTTACATAACTACATTTGGTGCTAGCATTGGTAAGTTTGTTACATAACTACATCTACTGCTAGCATTAGTAAGTTCGTTACATAACTACATCTACTGCTAGCATTGGTAAGTTTATTACATAACTACATCTACTACAAGCATTGGTAAGTTTGTTACATAACTACATCTACTACAAGCATTGGTAAGTTTATTACATAACTACATCTACTACAAGCATTGGTAAGTTTGTTACATAACTACATCTACTGCTAGCATTGGTAAGTTTGTTACATAACTACATCTACTACAAGCATTGGTAAGTTGGTTACATAACTACATCTGGTGCTAGAATTGGTAAGTTTGTTACATAACTACATCTACTGCTAGCATTGGTAAGTTGGTTACATAACTACATCTGGTGCTAGCATTGGTAAGTTTATTACATAACTACATCTACTACAAGCATTGGTAAGTTTGTTACATAACTACATCTACTACAAGCATTGGTAAGTTTGTTACATAACTACATCTACTGCTAGCATTGGTAAGTTGGTTACATAACTACATCTGGTGCTAGCATTAGTAAGTTGGTTACATAACTACATCTGGTGCTAGCATTGGTAAGTTTATTACATAACTACATCTACTACAAGCATTGGTAAGTTTGTTACATAACTACATCTACTGCTAGCATTGGTAAGTTGGTTACATAACTACATCTGGTGCTAGCATTGGTAAGTTTATTACATAACTACATCTACTACAAGCATTGGTAAGTTTGTTACATAACTACATCTACTGCTAGCATTGGTAAGTTGGTTACATAACTACATCTACTGGGTACGTTTGTTACATGACTACATTTGTTGCTAGCATTGGAAAGTTTTTTTTACACAACTACATCTACTGCTAGCACTGGTAAGTTTGTTATACACTATGAAGTTCAAGCATCTGTTATTTACATTTTTGTAAAGTCGACTGTTTTTCATTTCTTCCCCCCACCCCCCGTCCCCTACACACTTTACCCCTAACCCTAAATTAGGGTTAGAGCTGATTAATTCTGATGTTGTTTATTAATTAAGTCCACTCGGCCCCGACAGATACCTGACATACAACACTGTCACTGGGTCCACTGCTAATCGCACTATTTCTCTATATACGTAGTCATATTAAAACAAACGAGCCGACCTGCTGCGTATCATACGCCGCTATTTAGTTGTTTTTTTTCTACTTTTCAGTAATTTATAATTTGTGAATTCAACAGTACCAATGCTGCCATTGAAAATATTTGCTTAAAAACACTAACCCCCCCCCCACGTGAAAGCAGCCTCCTCTTAGTTACCTCCTCTAAGTTTAAAATCGTTTCAAACTCAATTATCTGCCCCTAATAGCCGTCACCAAACCCGTCTCTATGATTGTAAAATGTAAACAGAGTGAACACCGCTCACCAGATCATGTGGGGGTGGGGTGGGGGTGGTAGTGATAGTGATAGAGAGGAAGAGAGGGGACTGCAAAGGCGCGCTTGCAGCTTGTTTTCTAACTGATCCCAGAAGAGAATTATATATATGGATGAACCCTACTTCATCTTTTCCTACTGCATACCTTACTCATATAGGTAGTTAACTATCTATATCGCCTCTAAACCAAAGACTAATCCTAACCCATTGTGGTTTTATTTCTCTCAATGTGCGGTACCATTAATCCTAACCGACCTAACTGTTCCATGTTTTATTTCTCTCAAAGTGCGGTACCATTAATCCTAACCGACCTAACCCTTCCAGGCTTTGTTTCTTCCATCGTGCCCGTGTACGTGTCCGAGTGCGCACCCCCGGACATCCGTGGGCGGCTCCTCACCCTCAACCAGCTCTTCATCACCATCGGCATCGTGGTGTCATCAGTCATGGCGGGGGCGCTTCAAAACATCAAACCCTCGGGCTGGAGGTTAGACTCTTGCTTGTGTGTTTTATTGTCCTTCCCCCACCCCCCCCCCACCCCCACAACAAACCCGAGGGCTGGAGGTTAGACTCTTGCTTGTGTGTTTTATTGTCCTTCCCCCACCCCCCACCCCCACATCAAACCCTCGGGCTGGAGGTGAGACTCTTGTTTTTGTGTTTTATTGTCCTCCCCACCCACCCCCCCACCCCCCACAACAAACCCTCAGGCTGGAGGTTAGACTCTTGTTTTTGTGTTTTGTCCTCCCCACCCACCCCCCCACCCCCCACATCAAACCCTCGGGCTGGAGGTTAGACTCTTGTTTTTGTGTTTTATTGTCCTCCCCCCCTCCCCACCCCCACATCAAACCCTCGGGCTGGAGGTTAGACTCTTGTTTTTGTGTTTTATCGTCCTCCACCCCACCCCCCCACCCCCACATGAAACCCTCGGGCTGGAGGTTAGACTCTTGTTTTTGTGTTTTATTGTCCTCCCCCCACCCCCCCCCCCCCCACCCCCACATCAAACCCGCGGGCTGGAGGTTAGACTCTTGTTTTTGTGTTTTATTGTCCTTCCCCCCCCACCCCCACATTAAACCCGAGGGCTGGAGGTGAGACTCTTGTTTTTGTGTTTTATTGTCCTCCACCCCCCTCCCCCACCCCCACATCAAACCCTCGGGCTGGAGGTTAGACTCTTGTTTTTGTGTTTTATTGTCCTTCCCCCCCCCCCCCACCCCCACATCAAACCCCTCGGGCTGGAGGGTTAGACTCTTGTTTTTGTGTTTTATTGTCCTCCCCCCACCCCCCCACATCAAACCCGAGGGTTGGAGGTTAGACTCTTGTTTTTGTGTTTTATTGTCCTCCACCATGTGGTTAGATAGTTTTAAAAAATCCTTTAGGCTCCCCCCCCTCATGGTTACTGCTGTTTTTTTTTCCTTCCACTTCACACACACCCTACCCCTCTTCACAGCCCCCCCCCCCCCCATACACACACCGCGCTTTAGTTTTCCCAATTAACCAGACCCCAAATTAAAAAAAAAAACAAAAACACACACCTTAAAATTTTGAAAAGCTAATATAAAAAAAAAAAACTAGACGTTAAAAATGTGTCCGTTGTCCAAGTGAGTCTAGACTATCAGTTTTCCTTAAAAATAGACTTGACCTGTCAACTACAGGGTCGTTGTTGTCGTTGTTTCTACAGGTATATGCTCGGCCTGGCAGCGATACCTGGAATTGTACAGTTCATCTTCTTTTTCTACCTGCCTGAGTCTCCCAGATACCAGGTGGGTCCTTGGAGGGGAAGTGGTTGGGTTGTGGTTTTAGTTGTGTGTGTGTGGGGGGGGGGGGGGGGAAGTGGTTGGGTTTTGGTCTAAGTTGTGTGTGTGGGGAGGGGGGAGTGGTTGGGTTGTGGTTTTAGCTGTGTGTGTGGGAAGGGGGGGGGGAAGTGGTTGGGTTGTAGTCTAAGTTGTGTGTGTGGGGAGGGGGGAAGTTGTTGGGTTGTGGTTTTAGTTGTGTGTGTGGGGAGGGGGGGAAGTGGTTGGGTTTGTGGTCTAAGTTGTGTGTGTGTGTGGGGGGGGGGGGAAGTGGTTGGGTTGTGGTCTAAGTTGTGTGTGTGGAGGGGAAGTGGCTGGGTTGTGGTTTTAGTTGTGTGTGTGTGGAGTGGGGAGGGTGTGTGTGTATGTTTAGTTGTCTGTGGGGAGCGGTGTGTGCTGTTTTTAGTTTTTTGTGTGTTTAGTTCAGGAGTGCGTCTTATGTTAAGTTGTATTGTGTCTTTTTTGTTTTTAGTTGTATGTGGGGGGGGGGGGGGGAATTGTCTTAATTTAGTAATATGCAGTGGCGTAGGCAGGGGGGGGGGTTAGGGGGGGGGGGTCATAACCCCCCCCCCATAGACCCCTCGGTATATAGAAAAAGTATGAGGGGGGGGGGTGCAAATCGAAAGTTTGAGGGGGGTGGGGGGGTGCAAATCGAAAGTTTGAGGGGGGGGGTGCAAATCGAAAGTTTGAGGGGGGTGCAAATCGAAAGTTTGTCCCCGGGTAAAAAATTGGACCCCCCCCCTTGAGACGATCCTGGCTACGCCACTGGTAATATGTGAGGGTATGTCTTGTTTTATATCAAGGGGTCTTTTTTTTTTCTTTTCAGTTGTATGTGGAGAAGGGGTTGTATCACAATTTTAGTTTGGGGAGGGGGGAGGGGGTTGTGTCATGATTTTAGTTCTGGGAGGGGGGTTGTGTCATGATTTTAGTTCGGGGAGGGGGGGTGTGTCACGATTTTAGTTCGAGGAGGGGGGTTGTGTCATGATTTTTTAGTTCGGGGAGGGGGGGGGTTGTGTCATGATTTTAGTTCGGGGAGGGGGGTTGTGTCACGATTTTAGTTGGGGAGATGGAGGTTGTGTCTTGTTTTAATTTGCATGTAGGTTAAGGGGTGTCTTATTATTAACGGGAGGGGGATATACATGCCTAAATAATTTAGTTAATTGTATGGCATCTCGCAGTTCATGCTCTGGCTAAGTAACGTGTCCTGTCCTGTCCAGTGCAAGTAACTTTACTCCGCCATTTTGCGCATGCGCAGTATAACGAATGGTTCAACCAGGTGAAGGTCGGGGTGAGAACTGGATGGCCTTGAACACACCGCGCGTGATGGTTCACATGAAAGTTGGCTCACACTTTGCTTTGTTTTGCTGCCGTACAACCGATGTAGATTAGAGCTAATTAAGTCAGTCTTTAAAGCCTCTAAGTTCGTTCCCGACCCATTTTGGCGCCTGAAGCAGCCCCCTCCCCCCCTCACCAGCTACGACACTGAATCAGTACCTCTAACCCCCATTATCCAATTTATGCGTATAATTTCCACAATCCCCTCGACTCCGTGTTGAGCTGTCGAAGCCCTTTGGTCGAAACGGTTCATTACAAGTGAAGATTCCTTTGTATCAGTGATGGTACAATTACTCCGTGTTGAGCTGTCGAAGTCCTTTGGTCGAAACGGTTTTATTACAAGTGAAGATTCCTTTGTATCAGTGATGGTACAATTACTCCGTGTTAAGCTGTCGAAGGTCCTTTGGTCGAAACGTTTTATTACAAGTGAAGATTCCTTTGTATCAGTGATGTTACAGTTACTCCGTGTTGAGCTGTCGAAGTCCTTTGGTCGAAAACGGTTTTCTTACAAGTGAAGATCCCTTTGTATCAGTGCCGGTACAATTACTCCATGTTGTGCTGTCGAAGACCTTTGGTCGAAACGTGCCTGTTCTACTAACTTGTAATGCGGGTGTTACGTATCCTCCGCCAGATGATGAAAAACCAAGAGAGAGAAGCGGAGATAACTCTGAAGAAAATCAGGAACACAAATAATGTGGG